CGCAATCGGATGGTATGGTAGAAAGAATGAATAGAACAGTTGGCAAGTATTTGACAAATATTTTATTTATTTATCGTATGGCATATAATAAGAACACACAATTAAAAAAATCAATATAAAAACGTTACATGAAGTATTACAAACGAACATCTAATGTATTATTAATATAATGTAAAACATTTTCGGTCGCATTCAGGAACTCATCGAAAACTCCAGGGAATCGCCTTCGGGGACATTCTTCAACAATGTGACGGACGGTCTGTCGTTGCGCACCACAGTCACACTCAGGAGTAAGGGCTTTTCCCCATCTATATAAGCTGTCAGCACATCTACCGCTGCTTGTTCTTATTCTGTTTAGCGTTGTCCATGTATTGCGGGTCAGTTCAAAGCCTGGCGGTTTCTGATCGATACAGGCCATTTGATGTGCTTCCTGTGGTGAGTCGCTCTCCCATTGTGTTCTCCAAGCTTTGGTCAGGTTGAAATGTTCCTGATGTAAGGAGTTGGCTCTTAGCAATGGAGGATATCTGGAGCGCAGTCTGTTTATTTCGATATCAAGCTTATCTTGGTGTATAGGTAGTTGATGGTTAGCCTCAATTTTTCGATATTCTCTGAGAAGAAAATGACTTCTTCGCAGTTTCGGCGGTGGAATGTGACTTAGAATGGGAAGCCAATAGTTCGGTGTGGGTCTAATTGTACCTGAGATCATTCGCATTGTCTGGTTTAATTGAGTGTCAATAATCTTTGTGTGTTTGCTATTGAGCCATACCGGGGAAGCATATTCAGCCACCGAGTATACAAGTCCGAGAGCGGATGATCTGAGTACGGAGGCTGAAGACCCCCATGTAGTGCCACATAGCTTTTGGACTATATTATTTCTCGTTTTCAACTTTGCTGTTGTTCTTTGAAGATGTTCTTTAAAACTCAATGTTCTGTCCAGAGTCACTCCAAGATATTTTGGTGTTGAGTTATGAGTGAGCAGTCTGTTTTCGAAGTGGATGGAGAGTTTTTTGTTGGCTTGGGCATTATTCAGATGGAAACAGCACACTTCGGTTTTCGTTGCATTAGGCCGTAGCCTCCATTTGCGAAAGTATTCTCCCATAATGGCAAGGTCATCCGCTAATATTGTTTCTGTGATATTCATGTTATTATGTCTTGCTGCAATTGCCCAATCGTCAGCGTAGCCAAATTTCTGCGAAGTTGTCCTAGGTAGGTCCGCGATATATAAATTGAACAGTAAGAGTGCCAAAACAGATCCCTGTGGCAGTCCATTGCTGAGCTTCATTTGGGAACTTTTAGAATTGTCTATTGTGACTTGAAAAGGTCTGTCGGTGAGCATGTTATCAATGAGTTTAGTTACCTTTTGACACGGGACGGCACGGATTAGCTTGCAGATTAGTCCTTGTCTCCAGACAGTATCGTATGCAGCTGATAGGTCAATGAAAGCAACGGATGTTTTTTGTTTTCTTTGAAAACCAGCTTCAATATGTGTTGTTAAGGATAGGATCTGATCTGTGCAGCTGCGGTTAGGTCTGAATCCTGCTTGCTCAATAGGTATCAATTCAAATACTTTTCTACTAATTCTGTTGTAGATTAAGCGTTCCAACAGTTTATAAACACAGCTCAGCAAAGCAATCGGACGGTAGTTTTGAGGCTGATTATTTGCCTTTCCTGGTTTTAATATGGCTATAATGGAGGCCTTTTTTAATGAATGGGGGATTTCTCCTGATTTTAACATATCTGTATAGAAATCAGCCAGCCATTTCCTAGCATATTTGCCACAGTGGAGTAAAAATTCTGGATGAATTTTATCGGAGCCGGGTGCCTTTCCAGACTTAATTTCTGATATGGCTGAGATAATTTCTTCTGGAGTAAACTCGTTAGAATATTCAGAAGTAGGCGGACATGCAGACTTTAGTACTTTAAGTTCTTGTTTGACTTTGGTGGTGTGATCACGATCTCTAGGTGCTCTTGAGGTTGCTACAATGTGGGAGGCCACTCTGTTTGGAGCTATTGGTACTTTTTCTCTAGTTGGGACTCTACTACTACCAAGTTTTCTAAGTAAAGACCATGCTTTTCTGTTTGATTTACTAAAGTCTAATTTTTCCACGGTTTCCATCCATTTTTGTCGTCTGGCTGCATCTAAACTGTGCAGTAATTCGTCCGCAATTTCTCGATCTTGGCTTTCGTTGTATTCTTGATACAATTTCTCGCAATTTTCATCCCATCCTGGGACATACTCTTTACGATATCCTCTGGGTATAGTTTTCTTCGCTGTGGAGATAACCGCGCCAACAAATCTCATGTAGTTTGAACGTGTTGGGGGTATCCATCCCAGACATTTATCCAATCTTTCAGTAAAAGTCGCCCAGTCTGCTTTTTGAAAGTTCCACCTAGGTCGGGGAAAAGATGATATTATTGGTATTTTGATGCCAATTTCTATTACAACTGGTCTATGTTGGCTGTGTGGAAAATCTGGCAATACTGTACGTGAAGCTGCCAGTGGTTGATTGTTTTCATTTGTGGAAACAAAACATAGGTCTGGATTGTATTCTCGCTTCCAGGCTGCAGATCGAAAAGTTGCCCGATCTTTAGCATCAAAGACTAAATAAGTGTCAACCTCTTCGCTCCAGTTTATTAGAGCCTCGCCGTTTTGATCATTGTGCCTATACTTCCAGAGTTCATGATGACTGTTGAAGTCTCCCACATAAACTGAGGGGTGTGGGTGGGCGTAAATAACATGCGAAGGCCACAGGACTGCCGGGGGTTTATAAATATTGCTGACAGTAATTTCGCCAATTTGTATAGTAACCGTGTGAATGTTATTTATGTCTGATGTAGAACGTATGTATGCATTTTCTATTTTGTTTCGAACATAGGTTGCCACTCCATAAGCTGGATGGTAAGTTGCACCCAATAAATCATAGCCATGAATTCTTCCTCTATTTGACAAAGATGGTGTCCGATCATCAGCGAGACTGGGACCAATATCTTCCGTTCTTCACAATGGCCTACAGATCTGCTGTTAATGAATCAACAGGCCAGACACCAGCCAGAGTCCTATTCGGACGCGAGATGCGACTACCTTGTGATCTAGAGTTTGGGTGTCGACCTGGAGAAGATGTAGCAGGTGAAGATTATGTGATCGAATTACGAAGAAGAATGGACGATGTACACGAGTTGGTCCGTTCCCATCTCCAAATCGCTAGTGACCGAATGAAGAAACGGTACGATACACAAGCCGAAAAGGGGTGTTTTAAGAAGAACGATAAAGTCTGGCTTTATAACCCAAAAAGCGAAAAGGTTGTTCTCCCAAATTGCAGCAGTTTTGGGAAGGTCCATACCTCATTATGGAGAAGATCAATGATGTTATTTACCGAATAAGCAAGATTCCGAGAGGAAAGCCGATGATAGTACACCATAACCGGTTGGCGTCTTTCGAGGGTGACCACGACGTAGATGAAGAAGTGGAAGTAAACCAAGTCCAAGATGTGTCTGACCTCACGTTTGAGGAATTCATGGGTGCCTATGGAGGTACCGGTAAAGCAAGACATGGTGTTACCACTGAAGAAAGGCAAGATCTACTCGCGCTTCCCGATGACTACTCACTGGCCCTTACCATCCCGGCCAGTATCAAAGATGCACCAGGGTTGGCATCCGTCTTTCGAAGGAAGTTTGGTCGAGTTGCAGAACTTCAATGCCAAGTGCCAGCTCCTGGTAAAACCTTGAAACTTCAAGATGCATCACGTTACCTTTTCTACCTGGTAACAAAAGACACTGCCCGTGACCAACCTATCTACCGAGATGTATGGGAAGCCTTACTTCAGTTGAGAGAGCACGTACTAGAGTCCGACGTGCAAAAGTTAGCCATGCCAAAGTTAGAGTGCCACCAATTAGATTGGAGGGTTATTCGAAGTATGGTGGAGGAGATCTTTAGAGACACCGAAGTCCAGGTGTTAGTCTGTTGCAATCCGCATAGTTACTGGTGCGGAGAGAAAACCGTCCCTTGTCATTTTTATAAAACTGGAAGTTGTAAAAGAGGGTCCAGTTGCCGATACCAGCATACCGTTTCAGTTCCAGTCCCGACAAGGTTCCAGGAGGAACCATCTTTTAAGAGGGGGGCAATGTTACGATAATTATGGCGTTTATAACTATCAATATATTATGACTAATTCTGTTTTCTGTTCTAGTAAATTCGAAGTTGTTTACAGAAACCTCTAGACCCTAATTTTATGAATAATCCACGTCTCGAGGCTTTTCAAACAGTTGAAAAATGAGTCGAGCGCCTTCACCAAAATACGAGATCATTCCAGTATTTTCGCCAAGGGTCAGGTCAGGTCTAGGCGGTCTTACGGTTCTTTATATAAGAACGAAATTTTATTGAAGGGTCAGTCATAAGAAGATCGGTAAACGCGGTTTACTTGTAACGAAACGTGAAATAAATACATTTGTAAAGTTATTTAATAAATTAGTAATTAGCTATCGTGAGTTTTAATAAATTATATTATAGACAATAAATTAGAATAAAGACAGATAAATTCGAACTATATAAATATACAACAATACTTTCAGAGAGGTTTTGTAAACCTAACACAAACAGGATATAAAAAACCTTTGATCTTCTATAAATAATTTCCCTTCTGAAAATCGCTTTATAGTGGACAGCTTATTGCCCATGGAATAATAATATAAATAGTGGTTGAAAGGTAAATAGCATTCTTGCATTGATAGAGATTAAATCGGGTCATGAGTTTTTATTTGAAGTTATGGTTTAATTTACGAAAATAGCTGAGATAAATATATTTCTAGTGAAAAAAAGTATGCAGAACTTGTATTGAACAAAAAAAGGGTGCAACGTTAGATAAGTTGCTAGAATTGAGTTGAAAAGAGTTCAGTTATAAAATCCAAACTAGAAAGATAGATGAACTTCAAATTACTTTAACATATTACAAATAACGACAAAGATCGCATGGAAACAAATAAGTTCAAATACAAATATTTACCTTAAAATAGGAATTTGTGGTCCACCCCGGTATCCATCATAGTAACCTCCATAATATCCTCTGCCTCCGAAGACATTTCCTGGTGCACCAGCAAAAGGTGCTCCAGGAGCACCAGCAAATGGTGCTCCTGGTACTATTGGACCTCCCGTGAATGGAGCTCCCGCACCTCCAAGTACTCCTAATGGTCTACCAAATGGTCCTATCCCAGGCGTGTATCTTCCTACCGTAGGAGGGAGGTAGGCAGAATCTAATCGTCCTCCAAGGACCACGCTCACTAAACTGGTAAGGAGTATCTGCAGATAAATTAAAAAGTAAGTTAAGTATATAAATGCTACATTTAGTATATTATTGTAGTGGTAAAATTCCTACTGAGTGTTCCACATACTCTGTGCCAGAAATTCATTTGATTTAACTTATTTCATTTGATCTGAACTTATTTTCGAACTTTTCTTAAGTTTCATATCTTACTAAGTCATTATTTGCTTTCTTTATGTTCCTATGTGTTTTTGGCTTCTCCGTTTAAAATTGTGATTGATTTCATCTTCAGACTTTTGACATTTTTAGAAGTCAACACCTTTAATATTTAAAAAAATTATTAAAAATCCTTTGTAAAAGGTATATATTAAGAACCCAAACGGGCTAAGTTAAAAAGACAAAACGTTTTCGGAATCCATATTCCATCATCAGTGTCTAAGAGTACATGAATGTAGCCACTAAATATATGGGTAAAAACCCGTTAACAAATAATTAATTACATTTATTTTACAAATTTTCCTATAATGGTTTAAGATGTTAAAGTTACCGTTGGATTAGGTAACATGGCGACATATGACTCCACGTTGAAGTTGCTAGTCTTGAGACAGTGTGTCTACGAAGACTGTATGGGAGCAACTCCAGTTGCAGAGATCGACACACTGTCTCAAGACTAGCAACTTCAACGTGGAGTCATATGTCGCCATGTTACCTAATCCAACGGTAACTTTAACATCTTAAACCATTATAGGAAAATTTGTAAAATAAATGTAATTAATTATTTGTTAACGGGTTTTTACCCATATATTTAGTGGCTACATTCATGTACTCTTAGACACTGATGATGGAATATGGATTCCGAAAACGTTTTGTCTTTTTAACTTAGCCCGTTTGGGTTCTTAATATATACCTTATACAAAGGATTTTTAATAAATTTTTTAATATATGGTATACACCCAACTACAGGAACGTAGATGCCTTGTGGACTTTTAATATTTGTTATACATTTATTTTTAATTTCATATTTTCTATCACTATATGGATCCTTATATTTATATCATTTATTTAACAAAATTGAATGACAGAAAGAAAGAAAAAATAACAATTATATTCCTAATAACATTAAATATTAGAATAAGTGAACATATATTAAAAATAGAGAATTTGATAGATCTTAAAATACGTAAACACGCATGGGACAATGAACATAGGGTTCAGTGGTACGATTCAAGTATAGCCCTTTAAAAAACAGCTTATAAAAAGAGATAAATCAAAGAAGCAGCTCTAATTATGCTAAATTAGAAAAATTTCGTCGCAAAGACCTCGGCGGAATAAAGTACCTAGATCTGGTTAACCATATTAAAAGAGGAAATCAACAAAAAGAAAAAACCACTATTAGTTAGTCAATAACATGTCGAGGATATATATTATTTCTGTTTTTAAATAACGTACATATAAAATCAGAGTTTGGTGTTTATTGAGAGTAAACTAAAGGTAAGACCAAGTACTTACCATGTCGGGATAATATTATGAGGGTTTTTCCTCCTAATTTACTATGAAATAACTAACAAGAGAATTTTACTGCCATCATTGCATGTGGTTGTCTTTTTAAAGGCCAATCATTTGCTATTTTTCTGACGGGAAGTTAAAGTTAATTTGATGTAATCGATTGAACTATCTTACAATAGAGTCGTTCCAGGAACGCAACATAACAATATTGGTAATATTATTTTAAAGTCGTTTACTTTAAAATGTATAATATATGTTTGAAATATCAATATGAATTGCATTATTTCCAAACATAATAAGATCAAAGGATTTTATTTGACGTAGTATCTTTAACTTTAGCTCTAGATCAGTTGAGTCATCAACTCTCTCTTCAATACCACAGCAGCTGCCTCAGCAGGACGAGTTCAACGTGTTTAATAACAATATTTAAGTGAAAGATTTTAAAGTTTCTAACTTATTGTTTGTCAGTTCCACAATCTCTTTAAAAACAGTGTACCTTTTTGAACTGCCTTCAATATTCGAATAAAGAAATTGTGTTAAACACCAAAAACAATCGAAAATTTTGGATTTTCAATATGTCTAGCGCAAACAATTTTTTATTTCAAAAATCGTTTCTGCATCAATTAAATTTAAACTTTTTAATGCTACTAGCCTTTTCAATTAGAAATGTACTACCTTTAGGGATATATCTAAAAATAATTGTAATCTGCTCCTGGCGAGTGACATGAGAAGTCTTGTCTGCAATCACAGAAATAGGCTGCCCTTTCACTTCCTTCTGAATATCCCTTAGAATTACATTTTTAAAAGAATGTAAACTATTATTTTGAATGCAGTTACTAAGATAAGAGCAGTTTTTTCGGATCGATTCCCAGTATGCCTTAAATGTAAGGTCATATTTTTTAAGAAGTTGTACAATTTTGATAAACTTTCTCATTGCTTTCTTCCGTTTCTGCCTTATTTAAAATTTATAACTTATTTATTACAAAAGTTTTAATTTATACTTTAACATTACTCAAAATGTTCACAGATTAACTGATTCTAGAAGTAAACAATCAAAATTTTTGCACTCCTCGAAATAAATAATAATAAAATAACATAATAGCGCAGCAAAATAATTACTTGGAGAGAGGAAAGTAACAAAACCTAATATATCAAAAAGAAAACACCATGGTTTAGAGAGGAAGTGAAGACAAAATAGGAAGAAAGGAAGAAATCCCTTTTACAGTACAGAACACAATAAACACAACAGGCATATGACCACTATAAACGAATCAGAAATAAAACGAGTACTTTGGCTAAGCTAATAAAAAGGGAACACTGGCAGAGATTATCAAAACAGATGCAGTACCACTTCTACAGAACACAAAAAGAAATATGAAAAATGATCAGGAGACACAGAAAAGAGATGAACGAACTAATAAAAACGGAACACGTTCAGCAGGAAACATAGCAATACTACTCTCGATCCCTATTTATTAAAGGTGACGATAATGAACTACCAACACCAGAGGTGACGACAAACGAAGAAATAAATATTTAGGAGGAAGAGGTAAAGGCAGCATTAAGCAATATAAAAAATAGAAAATCATCAGGAGAGGACAGAATACCAAACGAACTAATAAAGTAAGGAGGACCACATCTGACCCAACAACTAGTAAAACTAATCCAAAAAATAATAAAACAAAACAGAATTCCTCAAGAATAAAAATCAAGCATCGTAATATATCTATAAAAAAATAATACAATAAAATTAAAAGTAGAACAAGAACTAACTGATCCTATTAAAGCTGGCAATGGGATAAGACAGGGAAATTCCCTGAGTCCCCTATCTTTTAAACTGATTATGGATGAAATAATAAAAAAGTAAGAACTAAAAAAGGATACCAAAGGGGAGAAAAACAAATTAAAATAACCTGCTATGCAGACGACGCAATACTACTCGCTAGAAGGTCAGGTAATAGAACAAATGATGGAGTCTAAATATCAAGGTATCGCATTATCTAGCTACGGAAAGCTCGAAACAGAAGGGGAAGATCAAGTAAATAGAGCAAACAGAGCCGCAGCTTGCCTGAATAAAACAATAAGGAGAACTGAATAAAAATGTCTGGAAAGGAATGAAAGGCAAAATTTACAAAACAGTTATCGGACCAATAATGACATATGCGGCAGAAACACGACTTGACACAGAGAGGATAAAAAGGATGTTAGAAACAGCAGAGATAAAAATATTTAGTAACATTGATGGTAAGACACTAGATACAGTTCCTCACTAGAAATAACATCAGTAGGAAGAGCACGAAAACGATGGAACGACAACTTACTGTAGGCACATTGGAAAACAGACATGAGCCATGTCTACATAAAAAGAAGAAGAAGATGAAGAAGAAGAAAGTTAGTGTATGTTCCACTGTAGCCACACCTATGACTGTGTGTAAGAGAAGTAATAGTTGGTTCGATTAATTCATGTGCTATATTTTGAATCTCATAACCACCACGTCACTATCACTCCTGTCTGTTCTGTAGTTTCAGTATTCGTCACTTTCTGGGAAAACGTCATCTGTATCATCTTTAGATTCCAGAATATTTATTCCTTAGGTAAAGGTCGTTTATGATTAAATCTTCGGTTAATTTTTCTAGTACAAAAATGTTACACTATGTCACTAAACAAACTTGATATATTATCTATATTATTTCACATTTTATTTTTCTCTGGCATTTTTACTATAAACTAATCTTTGAAACAATGAATATTTGACAATGTAGGTACATACACTCACATCGTCAACACATATCATGCAGCCTTCCGATCATACTCATGTCCGAACCTACCGATTCGTTTTCAAGCCCGTCTATGCCGTGACGGTAATATAAACGTAAATAAACGGTTAAATGCTATATACACCTATATCTCGGCCGCAGTGCTACATCTATTTGTGTAATCGACAATGAACGAGTGAATCAGCATTATGTGCAATGAGCATCAGAGATCTGGCATACCTACATCCATAAATTTGTTCATTAACTTTTTGCTCTATTAATAAGATTTAGTGCTTTTACCAACCATACTGATTGACACCGACATGATACCCACAGACCACTAATAGGTGATCTGTGATGATACCTATTTGTTTTTGGTATGTTTCTAATTAATATTGACTTAAGCCATAAAGCATGCCATTTTTTGTATCATGTGTTTAATAATAGTAAAATATTTATAGTGTAAGGAATTAAGCGTAAGGAAATACGTTCATCGAAGAGTTTATGACTAGTAATTAGCCACTATGAATATGAAATATGCAATTTTCATATAATCAATAGTTCTTCGAAGAGAAGAGTGTATTAAATATTTTATAGAATATATTAACCAAAGGTATAGCACTTTTTTTATCATATATAGTATATTATATAGTACAGTTCCTCGTCTCGGAGGTCGGCTCTGAAACATGCTATGAATATGTTATTAAGAGTGTTCCTTTTTTCGTTATCAGTAAATTTAAAATTTTGCTTTAAGAATTAACATTGTTATATTTTA